AAGCAGACTGTACTAGACATTTTCATTATAATTCTGAATGGTCTACACGTAAGGTATACAGTAAGCCTCAACCCAATAGTGATCCTTTCTCTACCAAAGAAACCATTTCCAAGTGACCAACAATTAACCTCTCCTCAAATCAAAAAATACTGAAATGACTCAAAATCGTCAAGGGTTCAACCTTTACAAAAGGTTGATGCCATCAGTATTTAATTGGCCACAATATGTTAGGCAAGTAGCTTATCCTCTCAGAGGCTCAATGTTCCTGTCTACATAATACAAATAAAGCTCAAGGAGAGGTGAAAGGTAATGAGGTAACATACAGAATTCACCACAGGGCCCTATACATGGCTGCCTCTAAATGTTACTTCTCATTCACTAAGAAACCCTGGGGAGTAAATTTTTTTTTAATTTAAGTGACAAGGATTATGGTCTGGGAATTTACATATTTAGAAAAAAAGTCCAAAAGACAAAAAGATTTCACTGGTTAATTGAATCTAATTCATAAGCTAGAATTATTTTTGCAACACTCCTTTAAACAAGTCAAGTAAATTTTGCTAAAAAGCAAACCAAAAATGCATGTAGTTCTAAAAGAGGGGCCCAGGAAAATCCACAGAACTTGGGTCCAAACAGCTACTCCACCACCTACTAACTAAATGGCATCAGTTATGTAAATGCTCTCATCCCATTTTCTCACTTATAAGGAGCAAAACTAACTGTTACAGGTTAAATATGATGATGCAAATAAAAAAGTTGGCCATTGGTGCTCTCCACTAGCTGGCTTTTTCTGTTCTTAAAAATAAAACTTCTGAACTTCTGGGAACGTCATTAGACACAATACAACACAATCCAAAGTCAATATAGGAATTTCAACACGAAACTGGCAGGCAGAAAGATGACTGGCAGGAAATACTTTAGCTGAGTCTTTAGAATCTGACTTCTCAACAGCAGCAAGTTATTATCAGACATACAAAATTCATCAGAAATAAGGATTTTAATTAAAAATTTTGTCAGCAAGATGATTACAAATGTTCTTATCTTTGGGGATGACTAGAGAAATGGACTGTTAACACATGAAGAGAACTCATGCAAGAAACACAAACTTCCCGTGTATGCCTTCCTGCATTCTCCCCCAATCCCAGCTTCTCCTCCCTGATCTCAAACAAAATCATCTTTATCTTCACTAACTTCTCGGATTTGGTAACAGGATGAATTAAATAAGTAAGCTCCTCTTTCACTGAAGCCAAGGAAATATTTGTGCTTACAGTTTAGAAGACTGCTAAAAAATTTAAGTGCATTTGAGAAATTCTATAACTCACTCTAGATCTAAATATATCTAAGACTTATAAAAATAAGGCTATTAATCTGTTATAGTAAATGGAAATAATCTGCCAACACAATATTCATCAGTGAAAAACAAAATAGATGAAAGGCTAAAGAAAATTCCCAATAGGGCTGGAGACATGGCTCAGTGGTTAAGAGCACTGGCTGCTCTTGCAGAGGACCCAGGTTCAATTCCCAACTCCCTGGTGGTAGCTAACAACCATCTGTAACTCCAATTCCAGGGTATCCCAGGTCGTCTTCTGACCTCCATTGGCATTGCACACTACATGAGTGAACTTACATACATGCAGGCAACATACTTGTACACATAAAATAAAAATAACAAAAATAAAATAAAAAATATTTAAAAAAGAAAATTGACAATGCAATGCTGGAGAAACGAGTAAAAGTGGGCAAATCAAAACTCACTTAGGATAAGTTTACCAAGTATTACATTTTTTTACTGCTTTAAAACTTGCTCTTGTCATCACTGCCCCTTAGTCTATCTGGTGCTCGGGTCTGAAGCTAGGGCTTGTGCCTGCTAAATAGGCACTCCACCCTAGGCTATACTCACAACTCTAGTAATTTAGTTTTTAAGTAACCAGCTCTGCTGGGAATCTATTTGTCCAAATTTTATTCTACAATGCTTTTCCAATACCCAAAAAGGTATGTTGGCCTGATAAGGATATGAAGGAAATAGTTCTAAACTCTTTCTCAAGTATTTTTTTATTCATGACCTGAGTCTAGGTGATTTTTTTGATACTGAATTTTGCTAGAGGAGCACGAATTTAAAGTTCTGGATTAAATCTCCCATGTCCTAACTCTTAAACCTTGTGAAACTGCCATCAAGTTTAACGGACTACCACCGTTTGCCTAAATTCCTCAATGAAATGGAATGTGAGCCACCTGATTCAAGCTGTAATTTTTCACTTACTCTAAGTGGGTAGTTGTAATTAGAGACCTAAGGGATGAGTGCATTCTCTAAAGCATAGAAAGGAATATACAAATTAAAGGGGTACAGTGTACATTTGGGAAAGAGTATGTATGCAAACCCTCCCTCTAATGGTCATTCCTGGAGGTGCTATGTATCTTGAAGTTCCTTGAGAAGATTTCCCCTCTATGTGTTATTTAATAGGCAATTGGGAAAAAAACAAGTTCTTTTGAAAAGCAAAGTAAATAAAAGGGTAAATGGGGAAATTCAGATTGTGATCTGTGACAGAGGGCAAATAATACTAGGCTGAGAAGAGGGCTTCGAATCAGCTCAATTCATATCACAATGAATGTCCAGGTAACCTCTTGTGAGATAAAACCAATGCAGTAATGCAATGATTTAGTTATCAAGGTATTAAAACAGAACCAGCCTAGGTATAGGTTGTACCCACTCCCCACTCCTCCTGCCCATGTTTTAAATTCTAAGCTGCTCTTTCAGAAAAGAGGTCACTTTAAGGACAGTTAGCTCAATGAGACACCCAGTACACTCATTCAAAAAAACTAAAACTGCATTTCAAAGTGGGGGTGGGGATGGAAACAAAAAGAAAATCCTACTTAACATGTTACCATGTTTCTTATGACTACACTTTTTATTGACAATCAGAGGTTTCTAAAGCATTAAGTATTACACAGCAGTATTTGTCACTGTGACACAACACACTTGAAAAGTCCTACCTACTCTGGCCAACTCTAATTTTAAAAGTGACCCTGGCTGGGCTTGGTGACACAAGCCTTTAATCCCAGCACTAGGGAGGCAGAGGCAGGCAGATCTCAGTCTGGTCTACAAAGTGAGTTCCAGGCCAGCTGGAGCTACAAGGAGACCCTGT